GAACGTGGGTGCGTACTGCTGAGGAGTCCCGCAATGGGACGAAACGGCCGTCCAGTGCTTCCAGGTTTCCAATGGTGGTCTAACATCAATCAGTTCATGATCTCAATCAAAAACTTGACAATCTCCACAACACCTAAATTGATAATAGTTTACTGTCAGTTTTCGTCTAACCAAAGTTCCTTGGTTGTAGGTCTTCTACTTTGATTGATGACGAGTCGGTATAAAGATATTATTTGTCGGCACCCGGATTATCGAAATTTCGGTGGATAACGACATGTTTTTCAGTAAATTAAAACAGTGAGACTGTGAAGGTCGCAATAATTTAACGGTTTTAGCTTTCGAAAGGTGTAGTTAATCATAATGCATTTCCGTTGCTCTTAATATGTATCTTAGATTATTAGTATTTTGTTTATTTATGTTCATATGTTTATTTCCTAGATTTTTCGTATCGAGTTCAGTAATATTGTAGAGAACAAGAACATCAGTGGGTATAACCATATATATTTGAACACAAATTACAGAATCCCTTAGCAACATCTGAAGACGATACAGTAAACACTTCACTTGCAAAATGTCAGTCAACTGTTTCAGACTTCATTGTTACTTTGTTTCCACACCAATCACTCTCTATTCTCATTCTATTTTCTTCGATCTTCTTAACCTTCCGCCGTCAGACATTTCACTTTCGACTAGTGATATACACTACTTATAGCTGTCGATATCAGTAGCACACACCACAATACTACTTACTACCTGGTTACTCAAACTGCAGTAAATAGAACGATGTTCAAACGTTTGATCTATTGATTGAAAACCAAGAACATTAACTTCTGATTCATGTCCAAGTATATCACTACTTGATTTAATGCATTTCTGCAAACGATTATGCTACGATCAATACTAAGATATGGTTAGTAAAGTGCGTTTATTATAATAATGAACGTGATTATAAATTTACTTGGTATTATTTGCTTGAATCTTCCCATCAATGTTTAGGACTGCAATTGTTCAGTCTCTTATTGGCATATGTGCATACTGTGTGTATTGCCTCGATATTGCTTTACTTCATAAGTAATATATGCAAAGATGGGTGGTGGATAGCAGTAGAATCCAGGACGCGCGTTTCATCCTATTTGGGACTCGTCAGCTGGATGCACCTGCATCGCAGAGTTGATGTTCACTCTGGGTACTGGGTTCTAGTCAAAGAGTGAACACCAACTCTGAGGTGCAGGTGCATCCAGCTGACGAGTCCCAAATAGGATGAAACGCGCGTCCTGGATTCTACTGCTATCCACCATCCATCTTTGCTTAGAACATGATTATAGTTATCTAATACTTGAGAAGTATCTCATTATAATCAATAAGTTGATTTATTCAAATGAACAATAGTTAATCAATAAAAAAGTAGATTTACAATACTACATTCTAATTGATAAATATCAAATTAAATTGTGTCATTTTTGTTGGCTTGAATACACAAATAGCTAGTTAGTCACTTTAGAATGTTTTTTCCTTAACTTTAATAAATCGATTTAAAAAAACATCACATTCAATGGCATACTTTAATTGTCACCATATTTTCTGCTCAATATGATTTTTTTGGATCATTGTCGTATGTAATAATACATATATTTTTTTTTTTCTGCAAACCAATTACACGAGAGGATAGTGTAGTAATTACATGATATTCTAAAATCCAGTAAAAATTTTATTTGGTACTTTATTTAGACAGAAGTTAACTTCAAACTATGTAACGCATGAACATTACACACATTCACACAAATACATACAGATAAAAATATAGAAAAAGAGCACATGATAACATAGTAAACTTACGAAAGTAAAATGATCCTTTACAGATCTTTTAAAATATGTATACTTCATCGGAATAAATCTCTCTTGGAAAAAAATAATGAGTTAGTTTAGATTTTAGTTAAGAGAAATCCTGTTGTTATTATACAAGTTTCATCTTATTTGACAGAGGTATTTATTTGATTTTCTCAAATTTTTCAATAGACGCAAGGATCAACTCAAATTGTTTATCTCTTGGTGGTCGATATAATGTGAAGCATGCACTGAGTCTAAGCAGAACGTTCAGTCAGAAAATTGTCCAATATTCTGACGATTAAAAAGATTTATATGTTGATAGTGATTTAAGTAGGCAACTTGTTTAAATGCTAACAAATTACTGAAAAAAAGTTATAGTTTAGAAACTTATCAAAATGAAATTAAAGTTAATAAGGGTTTACTAACGATTAAGTTTATGGATCCTATTGAGCTTCCAATATCACTGAATCCTAGTAGGAACGAACCTGAAGCACATGCCGAAATATCAACGTATAGGAGTAAAAACGCAAATATCCATGTAAATCAAGGTTCAGAAAGAAAATGTTATTAAAAATTGCACTCCGGAATCGGGTGGTTAAGCTGTAAATCAACAAAACTTTAACCAAAAATGCTGAATACGATACAGTTGAAATTACTAGGAAGTTGCAATCTACATATAAGTGGAAAAACATGATACAAATTTCTCTCACTGTCATTTATGAATGGTTAACTATGATTGTGAAGTAATTCGATCTGTTGGTTTTGAGAACTAATAATATTTTGAATGTATATGTACCCTTCAAAACACAACAATTGATTTTGTCATTTATAAACAATTCTTTTACGGTAGCGAACCGATGGACTCATCATAGCTGTTGGGTAGGTCAAAGAATTATGTTATTTCAACTATTCGTGAATGATATAATTGATAATACCACTGAATAGGATACTGTATTTCTATATCAGTCATTAAAAATTTGTACTGTTAACCTTTTAGATAACAGAATCAAGCACTCCGTACATAACAAGAATGTGAATCAGATAGGATAGTTGCACATTCAATTAGTGTTTAACTTACAATAAAATATAACTGTTACTGGTAAAAGATAAACAAAAATGTAAGCAGGTACTTTCTACTAATATCTTTACTGCGATTTAGTTAACATAATGAAATATTGGTAACATTGACTAAACTGTTTTTATCGGTTATGTCAAATGTCAATCAATAATGTCTATAGTTTAAGTCCAGAGTTGATCTTGGGTGGATCACGAGTGAAAACCTGGAAGCGTTGGATGGTCATTTCGTCCTAGTAAGAAACTTCTCAGCTGTGGGCATTCACCACCCGGACCTAGAGGTCGAATTCTCTCCAGAAGAATCTTCTGCTGGGAATAAACGGCCATCCTAGTATTTTAACGCTCGCATTGGTGGTATAGATGAGATCCATTCGTGATCTATACTATAAGAATTCCACAATCCCCACAATTCTCCTCATACTGATTAATAATGTCTTTTTATATCCTATGATTATTAATCATAGGATGTAATTTAAGGTTGTTTATTTCTTTGTAGAAAGCAGAATGGGTTAAAAGTAAAATTTCAACATTTTTAAAAAGTACCATTCATTTCGTTCAAATATTCATGAACATAGGATTATGAATTAAGTGTAGAACGGAAAATATTGATACTGTACGTGTTCTAAAATATTATTTTTCAGAAAAAGAACAATTTTTGTCTAATACCCAAATTAAATAATAAATCAGAACTGTGAATTAAGCCAAAAATGAACTTATATCTTTTGATTTAGGATTCACTTGCTCAGAATCGAAGTGATCAAGTTTAATAAGCTAACGTTTGAGAGGTACATATTTGCTCATTTTGATTAATTTCGCGATAGACAGTGATCATTATTCAATGTCAGCTAAAAGCATTCATATTCACTTTCCGATTTGTTTCGGTATGTTAGTTTCCTGATATCACTGAATAGTGAAAGATATCTATACATCTTCATTGTTATCTGTATACGTAACACACATGAGCTTAGCAGTTCTGCTGTAAAAGATATTGCCGAACCACTAGGTGTTTCTTTTCCAGAGATTAATGATAATAAATATTTAGTCCACCCATTCGGTTCATTCAAAATGTTTACCTGTGAACCGTAATATTTTACAGGTCATTAAGTCACCAGACGATCATAGGGTCAATAGGGACACGCTTCATTTTGTCAATTGTTATTTTGCTAAATATTAAGTAGTTTTAGTACTAACAACGATAGTAAATACTCTAGAGTTTAGGTTATAAATTTTCTTGTATTCAAATCAGTCTCCTATTCTGGACTCTCGCGAACAGTCGGTTTAACGATTGTTTCCAGTGCACATTCACGACAAAGTTCAACCGTTCAATAATACAGGTCACTATACGTATTTTTACACTGTGGCGTGGTTGTATCTAAAGACAGAAATAGATGAGACTATTTAAAATATATTTTTTATTTCAGTACAGTAATGAGCGATGACCCTAGCGTGCATGTCCATAGTTTTTAGTTCCCAGCATAAGCTAGACTGTGACATCGTACATATTGTTGACTGTTGCATGTACTGCAACCACCTACCAATTTAGCTAATACTGTATATACATCTGCTGTGTTTCATATGCTTACAGTAAACTTTGTTGTCATTTTCTCAATAGGTTGTTTGCATTGTGCTAGGCATTGACTTTTTTTGGTGTTACGTTAAACCATATTTTGTTGCGTTATTAAACTGAATTAAGATGAGAGAAATAAGATTCTAATTCTATTAAATTCCAAATATATTTTAATGACACAGCACCACGTATGCTACATTTTGTGTGACCGTCAATCAATGGTCTCATTGATGAAGATTTCAGTTCTGTCGTCAGATTTCTGAGAAACAAATAACTTATTGTGTCAGCATATAAATTTTTTTAGTCTCATTGTTTCATTAACCTGTTTAATCGCAATCCTCACATACGTATTAGTATGATAATATATTGAAATAACAAATGTCAATCAATCAAATCACTACTATATTTAAATAATTGTGTGATTTGGAATTCTCTTAAGAGTTGTGACTGGCTGATTAGCTTTGAAGCTATTAGTTAATTACAATTGGTCAGTAGAAAGATAATTTAAAATTACTTGGATTCGTATTTTTCAGCAGTTTTAAAATGTCTCATTTAGAAAATACACATAAAACACCAATGGAAAATATCATTAAAGAAGCTGATAAATTAGTTGCACAAGGTCAATTTCATAAAGTTTATCATTATCTCAAAGCTTCATTGAAAAATTACGATGATGTTGAATTATTATGGAGATTTGCTCAAGCATGTTATCTTTGTGGTAATGTTCTTGCTTTATGTTATCATGATGAGAAATTTTGTTAATAATATTAATTATTATTCTTGTTATTAGTTTATTATGTTACAAATAAACCATGTAAAGCATTCTGTGAAACATATTTCTCAGAGGGGATGAATGCAGCTAAAAAGGCTATGGAGAAAAATCCTAATCATGCTAATTCCTTAACGGTATTTTGAAATTCCATTACATTTATATAAGTCATTTATTTATTCACCAAATCTATTCAGTGGTATGGTATCTTGTGGGATGAACACAGTAATTTGAAAGGTTTCTCAGAAAGATTCAAGAATGTCTCACAGTTATATGACATATGGATTGTAAGTTGACACGTTACTTATTCATTTGAAAATCGGTGGAAATTAAAGAAATCACAAAAACTTGATCCGAATAACTTTTTAACTGAGGGTAGTTTGGGAGTATGGTAAGTAGTTGCACTTGACATATTTTCTTACATCCATACAAGGTATTTTATTATGACAGATGTATACAGTACAAAACCAGAACTTTTTAAAGGTACAAAGTATACTGGGAAGGAATTCTCTTATGAATTGGTATGTAGTGAGTAAATTCCCAATAAAAAACCCATTATTTATATGTAGGCATTAAAACATATGCTGAAATGTGAAGAATGTAAGTATCCTATAGATATGTGCACGTAAAAAATGTTTGTAATCTTTTCGATAAATGAGTAACACAAATTTCCAATGATTTCATTTTTTTAAAATTAAAACATGGAGTGGCTCCTATGAGATCTGTAATAACGTTGGCATATTTGGCTAAATGTTATGCACGACTAGGACAAAAAGACAAAGCGAAAGATTGTGGTCTTAAAGTACTTAATTATCCTGCACATCATGTCGAAGCCGATGAGGTAAGTATGTGAATGCCATATATATATATATATATATATATATATATATATATATATATATATATATATATATATATATACTGATGACCTAGTTATATTTATGACGCAACCGAATTAAGTGTATTGGCATTGGATCAGACGGTGATTATTATCCGATAGTTGAAGGTAAACATCAGGGGGCTCTTAAACCAGGTCATCTGTTAGTTGAAAGTCTCTAGCAATGTAAATTTGGACTTATCAGGGAACTGACGCTGCCCATGAAATTTGAACGAGTATCATTTAGTATTAGTCACCAACGTCACCTACTAGATGCAAATACGCTTTGTTAACGAATGACAACTAGCATAAAATCTAAGTGAACGGCTCACTAACAGTTTCAGCCAACCATTTATCATAGAGGTCGATAAGCATATCTGCTAAACGGCTAGATGAACCCATATAACACATTTGGTTGGCCGCATGTACGAGATACTGTGATGCACAATAAATTCATGAAGTAACATTTACTTACCCAGTCATAGGTGTTACTAATGCCGGGTTTATTAATAGTATGAATGCAACTGTGCACAGTTTTAGTCATCACAGTGTAATTAGGAGTCATTTTAATTGTCCTAATGAGCAATAATTACTCTAGGTTTGTATCTGTTAGTCGAGATCTAGACTTGGATATGTTCAAGTTCTCACATGAAAATACTTGCTCATATATGTAAACCCACTCCAAAAAGCAGATTTCACACATAGACTTATGGAATGCTTCCTTAGTGATAAGCGAATAGAATTCAATCAATATAGCACTTTTTCAACCAAACCGTTGTCACCTTACAAGTTTATTATTTCCATCTAAAATCTATGATTATATACACTTGTGTCAAAAGAAAATGAAACTGTCGGAAAATAAAATTATTACACAAAAGCTTTGGAAAGTCACAACAATTCACTCTTGAGTATACGACTTCAGTGATCATTTTACTGAACACATTTCTGGAAAACTGTTTGTATGCCTAATGTCGGAAAATAGCCGCATTTACGTCCTCCAATCTACTTGGATAGTGGGTTAAGTTTGATTTCACACTCAATTTCCTAAGATTCTAATACGGAAAGTCATTTCTTTGGCGTAATTTCTGACTGCTTTTACACACATTTAGTAGATTAACATACGAGAATCATTCATCCTATATATAGCAGTTTGTTTATCGTTGATATGTAATAGGGTAATCAATGTATTGTTTATATTATCTCGGAAAATGTCTACCAAATTATTTTCTACTACATTTTTGTAAACATATATATCTTCAATCATTTATAGGCTAGGAAAGAAGTTGAGGAATTAATGCAAACGCTTAAATGATTACATTGATAATGATAGTAACTACTGTACTATAATGAAGAAGGGATTATATCCCATCATATTAAAATTAATGAAGCGACTACTAGTACTGACGTATTATTGTGTTTCATGTATATGAACACTCTACAAATATATGTGATGTGTATGATGAACCTTGTTATTTAAGTTCTGTATGTTCAATTGAATTGTTAACTGTCTATCGGAGTGGCAGTAAACAGCCGTATTTGATCATTTTCATTCACAAATTTAAAAGATTGAACTCATTGTGTATATTTGTTTTACTGGTTCCTAATGGAATTTCAATGTGTACACGGATTAGCTTGCGAATAATCACGATTACCACAATCCTGTTGTTAGTGCTTATCAAAAGACTATGGAATATATGAAATGTGAACAAATAAAATTTTCGGTATAATATATATATATATATATATATATATATATATATATATATATATATATATATATATATATATAAGCAAACGAACGTTTAAGAAATAGAAATACTCGTAGTAGTCTCAATTTAAGAAGACAGCTGGTTGTTTGTTTCAGGAGTGTCCTACAGAGTTATGTCATTTACATAAAATTCAGGATATTCTAAGGATCTGAAGTATTTCAAAGATTGTGATGGGTCATATCACCAACAGGAGAGGAATAACTTTCAAGACTTTTTTTGTTTTGATTCATACAGTTCAAGATAGTGAATTTACCACATAGTCATGGTAGAATGTGATAGTCCATTCGGAAAGTCTTGTTTCTAAGCACCAAAACTAGCATAAGGAACCAAATACTACAATCCGCATCATATCGGTTGGTCAGATGACTGATATATTGAAATTAAATGTATGAGGTGAAGATTCAAGAGCCAATATCTTTCAAATGTCTACACGTACCTGAGGCTTGATATGATACTTCTCAATCAGTAAGCTCTTTGATTTTGCATGTTTATATTCTTTCGTTATTTGACGATATATTACCTAGTACCGATTCTCCCAGTTATTCTGAAGTCTTTCGGAATTAGGAGCACTCTCTGAATTCCACAGAAGTCTTTTTAAACAACATAAGATGCTAATGAAACATAATTGATGACACAGCTAGTTCTTCTGCTTCTGTAATTTTACCACTCAAATATCTCTTCTCTTATTAACTAAACCTTATTCCTAGCGAGAAACTTTATCAATGGGAAAGTCAGCTAAGTATTGCGACGGAAATAAAAAGATAAATGTGAGTACAATATTGCGTTTATCCATAGTACACTGTAGGCCAGTATGATAAAAGCCTTGCATAAACGATTAGTCAGTAAGCTTTATTACTATAAGCTTGTTATCAGTGACGCTAGGATTGACCGAGAGTTTGCTTATTTTGTTCCGTTAGTATATGGAAAGCATTTTTAGGCTTCATAATCGTTGATAGTTGTTACATCAGAACAGTCTGAAGGTGTTCATGAGACAGAGCAACAAACCTAAAATTCCACTGCAAATAACACATTTCAGTAATTTCCTTGAAACTACTAAAACCAAAACCAGTAGCAGGTTTGTGATGTGAAAAGCTTGTTAACTCTTCTAATCGCATGTGTTCCTTCAGTCTCATAAACAATTAGAACAGGACATTCTGTATATCCAGTGTCTGATTTTTAGCTACCAACTACAAATTTTATTCTAAGCTATACATTTCTTAATTCGTAAAAAGAATAATTCTTTTCTATCTCGAGGAGAGACATCATTCATCATATAGAGGACATTGTCCTGTGTCCACCTAATGCGAAATTAGGTATCCACAAATATTTACCAGATTTTTTTACCAACTTTACCTTCAATCACAGTTTCATTCCTTTAAAGGATCGAAACATTAGCTACGCTACGTAAATGCAGACATGACATAAGATATAAGGGTACGTCAACTAGGGATGTAACCTTTCACTAATAAAACCGTCAACATAGATGCATCCTACTAACACATCTTGAATAAATAGTGAAGTCAAGTTTATCGCTCATAACCGAGGTTATCACAAAGCCAATCATTTCTGTCCCTATAAATACAGATATACACTACATCATTACTTTCCTACATCACGAAATACACCCGTTTGTTTCGTTATGATATAAATAACGCTGTGATCATTTGTGTTCTGGAGAGGTGAAATGCCTCATTGGATTAGTAATACAGGGTATGAGAATGTAATGGAAGAAGTAATACTTTAGCATTAGTGTTTATTTAGTGTTTTCACATCACCAATTACACTTAGCAGATACACAAACTATATGTTGTTTCACTTGACTATAATAGTTACACTTACATACAAATGTCTTAGTAAAATGTAGTTCTTGAAAATTATTGACGACATTAAGTGTTAAAGTAAAATTCATGAGTGTTCCATAAAGTCGAACTGCTTTAAAACAAGATTTATCTAATCATATAATTATCTAAAAATCGTGAGGGCATATTTTTAGAATAAAATATAAACATGGACTTAGTGTGGAGATCTAATCAATTAAGAGATATTTATGAAGAAACGATACTATGGGCGGGGACATCATCGTCAGTAAGTATCTGAAAATTCGACTGTCAGGAAATTTCACCAAATCTTAGCTCTAATATGTACCATTATTCATGCATCCAGTAACGCACTTAGTCCTCTCATGTACGAAACAATTCAAGTACTTATATTTTTCATTAACATGACGACGTATCACGGGTAAACACAGAATACATTTTGCACATGTTCTACACAACATAAAACACATTGTATTAGTGATAGGTGACCGAAATGTACCAGTCTAACACAATCCAAAATAGCGCTGACTTATACAAGTTGTGTTCATTTCGGTCGTTTCTAAATCGAAAGAGTAACAACATTCCAGAGAGGATCAAAACAAACGCTAACCCAACTATTATATTCTCTCAGTAAAATTAAGAGGTAATTGAGGACTAAAAACATATTTATATTACAAGGCCATTTCAACTAACATTGTTAGTCAATAGTAGACAGTCAAATGAGAGCAGAAGGATAAAATATGGAACATGGGAAAGGCACTATGCCATGCGATAAAGGGACTCTTTACAGAATCTATAGCCATTATGAAGATCATATAAATGAGGGGATCGTATATGGTTGGATTTTATCGCAGTAAGATATATCATACAATTCTAACGTTATTAATGTAGGGTTTCCAGGCACACCTAGAATTAGATGACAAAGGCCCCACCTCTGATTGGTAGTACGGTGATGATTATTTTATAGTTTCTCAATATGTGACCTAGTGATTGTGTGAAAAGTAAGGATGTGTAAGTTTTTTCTAAAGCTAATAAGGGAGTCCTGTGGATCGTCAAAAACGACTTTGAAATGACCACTGGTACAGTATGCTGTTCCGAGATGCAGCTATTTAAGCATATTTGTGAGACGATTCACACTGAAAGATAAGTTTGTCTGCACGACTATACTTCCGTGAATAAGTCACAGTTCACAATGGAATGCAAGTTATTATATTTCGTTTATTTATAAATATCAACAGCTATAGCGAAAAACAGTTAAAAATTCATTATGAACTCGTCTATGAAGAATTTCTTTAGCATGGACTCTTCCATTAGAGAACTTTTTCATCATAAGATGTACTTCTTCAGGACAGTTGTCTTTCGATAAAAGTAAATAAATGCAGCCGTGTGGTGAGAGCAAATTGTAAGCTTGACTTAAAAATGGGTCAATCACCTGAAATTCAGTTAAGAAAACGCAACGTACAAATAAGGGGGTTGAAGGAAGGACGAACAATATAAACCATTTTATTAGATACACCACAAACAAATTATGGCCTAAATGAGTATGGGGGAAATCTTCAGCAAGCGCTTAATGCATCTAGTACATTCATTTGAGAGTTCCAAAAGATCATATTAATCTCAGATTAAGACAAGTTTTAAGAGCAAGTGACTTAGGCTAGCGAATTAGTGCTTACATATAGGGAATTCGAAATGTAGGGAAAGACGACACTTGGTAATTTCATATAGAATCTTCAAAATGAACCTTCTACTTTATTCATTGCTATCTACAATATACTGTCTGACATACAATCCAATATGTTTTCATGTTGAACAACGGTGCCGGTATACATCACAATTACATAACGGAGTACAGAACTATTAACAAAAAGAATAATGAGAAAGTACTAACACAGAGAGTGGACTTTTTTAAATGCAGCTACAGATGTTCAAAATGAACTACAATGCATAACATCCAAATAAGACACTAAACTCGAATTCAGTAAGTTCTGTAATATCCATTGATTTCTGTAATGTTGACTCAAGACCGGTGAAATTAAATCGATTGGTACACATATTGAGTTTACCAAAAAACACCAGAAATATGCTTATGCCTGCAGGAAGATTTGAACCCACAAATTTATAATTTTTAAGTGAACCAAAAAACCAGCAAAGTAGTCTTACTTCTCTTCCCAGTCGCCCACCAGACCATGAGGCAACTATGGTCGAACTAGCAGCTTTGTGTTCGTCTAAAGTTGTCGGTACATAGGGAGGATTAAACATGATTAAATCCACACTTTTATACAGTCTAGACAAGAGGGGAGTTGCTAAAGAACAATTAATTACATCATATGTCACCGATGTACTAGGGACATTTACGTTCAGCACACGTAGAGATGCGTAACATGCCTACAATGGTAAGATAGTGATTGAATAGCCGCATACAGTGAGGGATATGTCGGTGCATATGTGGAATGGTGGTTTTGAAATAGATGAGCACAGGAACGCACTGATAACTCCACTGCCGCTTCCAACTTCAAGAGTTAAAGTGGGCCTCAGTTCGGACAAAAATCCAGAATCCAACTCCAAAGCATCCAAAAATAGGTAGGAATCCTCAGATGGTGGGTAGACTTCTGAAAACTCTGATTCGTTTATACAAGATGTTATTGGAGTGGTCATGAGATAGAGGGGACAGCTCAGAGTGAAGACCTAAAATGTTGAAAGTATTGTGGGATGAATAATGATAAACTCAGATCCAATACAAAACATCTCAAGAGTTTCATGAAATACGTCCTTTTTGTGAGTTACACGAAGCAAAATTGGTGATGACTATGGTTAGGGGCTCGATTTACAACGATTATGTCGTGTAAAACCTGTTTCATTGAATCTCAAAACACACGTAGTACTTCTAGTCTTTGCATCAGTTGGTCAGAACCTACACAACCTACTCTGATAACTATAACTCTGTATGAGCACTTTTAGCATCCCAGTACATCATTTATTCGCTTCCA